GTGAAACATTTGGTCGGCCATATATTGCAGACCTCGGATCATTCTGATGATTATAACTCGTCTCAACTGGCACAAACTCTGGCACATTTGTTGTTGTCGTTCGCATATCGAGCATTCCAGGGCTATTAAAGCCCAAATCTTGAAACAAAGTATTGCATTGTTTTAGATTTTGATCAAGTTGTTTTTGCATGTCAGTGGCTGCTAACGTTTGTTGTTCGGGTCCTTTCAGAAAACTACTATAGTTTAACATTTCCGTTAATTGATTGACACAATTTGCACTGCTTCTGCTGCTGGTGTTGGATGAATTTGTTACTTCTTCTTCTAATTCTTGACGTTTACGTTTTGCTATTTCCATGCTTTTGGCGTAAATGTTTTCACCAATGGTGTCGCGAAATTCTTGAAAATACGATTCATTAGCATTTTCTATAAAGTTGCCATCCAACGTTTGAAAACCCAAACGAATTAGAAGAGAAATTTTTGTATTGAAAAATTCGGACCAAGCTTTATTGGTTCTAAAGATAGATAGCTGCTCGTCATCACTGCAAGAATTCCAAAAATCCAATAAAGTGTTTTTCGTAAAATCTACTAATAACGATTGTTTTTCTTCGGCATATAAATTTGCTATAGAATCCAAATGACGAAAAGTTATATCCAAGAGATGATGTTGATGCCTTGTTAGATATAGCTGCCATTTGTAAACCATGGTCATAAGATTCCATAACTTATCCATGGAATCGCTGTTCAACTGCATTAGAGAACAAGTCGCAATATCCTTTAGCATGAATTTGCAATGATTTTCAGTAAAGAGTTGTGCCGTTGATTGAGTAGAACCGATAATAAGGGAATCGAGAAATTTAGGATCCAACAAAACCGCGGTGACGTCGTGTATAACTACAAAAGGAAAATAAGACAACAAAAGAAAATAAAACTATAGTTATTGTTCATCTATATCGTAGTTCAATAGTTTACCTTGTTTCGATTTATTTACAGGAATTTGTTGAGCTTTCAAACGCTGATCTATCACATACAACATTTCGCAGCCTAGATTGACTAGAATGAAAACATTGGCTCGCGGATTGAACTTATGACTAAAAGATGCCATTCCATATATCTTTTGATAAAACAAAAGCAAAAAAGACAAAAAGTTTTTATTTTTAGACTGAAAATTCCGCTTTTCGGTGAACACGTCCGCTTAGCTGAAGGCTCACAAGAAAACTACTCAAAACTACTCTTTGATGCAGACAACGGTAAACCCTTTAAAGACATCTATCTACAAGGACTTAGTACAGAAAAAAAGAAGAGAAAGTCTTTACCATTTACACATAACATAACTAGAACTAGTAGAGAGAGAGAGTTACTTGTTTGTGTTGCTTAGTTTCCTTTGAATGCGTAACTGTAAAAGCACTTCTACGAAAACTTTTAAGTTTTAAGAAAATAAACTATATATATATATAGGATATATATATATAGGATAGGATATATATATTATCACTTGTGTTCATAATAAAATCCCAAGAAAAGTATTATATTATTTATTTATTCTAAAATGAAAGTATGTGAGATCATATTTCTGTGATACTGCAAATTAATGGGACTGCAAAATGGGCGAGGACGCAATCAATAAGCAATCAGAGAACATGTAAGAAAGTCAAATGTAATCGTTTATATTGTAGTGTTCAAAGTTGGGGTGATCAAAAATTAATGCTTAATACCGTTTACTTAAAGGGTGGGGATAGGAACTGCAATGTAATTTGAAAGGATCGTAGCAAGATATTTGATGAAGCAGGAGAGATCAACAAGTGTATATTGATATATGATTAATGTTTAGTTTATTTATTTCAATAAAAGCTTTTAACACTTCAAACTAAAAGAAAAACAATAACAAGTAAGAATATAACACTACTCTTGCATTAACCCTCAATTAACTCCACCTCTATATCCAACAAATGTTGAGAAAACCAAGATCCAAACATTTTCGAGAATTCGCCTTGGTCATACAATTGCAACTCACCAATGGATCCTGAAGAAGTCTTCTCCCCCAATCTGCTGTTGTGGACAAACTCTTACTATAAAGCACATTCTCTGCGACTGCCTCAACTTTTCCTTGGCTAGAAGTATTGCATTTGGAACGATTAACCCTTTGAACATTCTACAATCAACTTCAGAACAGAATATCAATTCAATATTTTACTTTATTAATACTACTAAGCTTATTATCTAATATCCATTTATTTAAATTAGAGCCGATAGCCTGTGTTGCTAGTGCTCAATGTCTCTTTTTTTAGTCTAAGAATTCAATTCATTAGTCTAAAATTAAAATAATAATAATAATAAGAATATTATATTCGATTGCGACAGAATCTTTTATACCCAACACTACATATTCTAAAAAAAGGCTAAAAAAATTTAAGAACTGCACTTCCATCCCCTTTAGTACGGAATGGGGTGGCGGGGGGCGGCTGATTTTTTCTATTTTCAAAATCAAACATTTTCTCGTTTAGGTGTATGGGTGTTGTGGACGTGTCTTTTGAAAAGCTTAGGTTCCTCTCAAGTTCATTTGCAAATCTGCAGGTGACGTCTCCATTTTCGCTAACGGGAGAATGCTTAACAAAAATATTACACAGTTGCGCAGCCAGACAGATGGACAGATTAACATGTTCCGATACGTTTCAAATTTCGAATATTTGCCAAGAATTTATATACTCTATGGGGAGGGTTTTTGAAGATTGTTCCTGCGCTTTTTGAAGGTATTAAAAAAAAAATTAAACTTTCATACATTATAATATTGGGTAGATGTGGTTAACTTTTTTCCGTTTTTGTAGAATATATACTCAATTTTTTTAATTTATCTGCTTTAATAATAGGAAAACCCAGTTTTGTATTCCTTTTCAAAAACACACAGAGGTGTCCTCAGTTTATGTGGCGCTCTGGGCGTGTCCTTCGCTCGCTTCGGTTTATTTTCAATACCAACCCGCGTACAGGAAGTTCCAATGTTTTTGCCAAATTTGAAGTCGATAGCTTTATTTTTATGGCCAAGAGAATGTTTACAACAAATATTACGCAATGGATAGACGGACGTGCTTAAATAGATTTAGAATTTCATTCTGATTAAGAATATGTATACTTTTGTAGTTTCTGGTGATTCTGATGCTTTTGGGGGTTGTAAATGTTTTGACAAAATAAATATACTCCTTGTTCTTCGATGATGGGTATAATGAGGAAAAAGTAATTGTCCTTGTCTGGAACGATATTTCGTAATATTATACTTACGAACGTAATTTCGTTTTGTTTTCATTCAGTTCAGTTCAACAGCTACATAAGGGTCACTTAGGTTAACTACCTCGTATGGATCAGTGTAGGTTGATTTATCTTTTTTTCTTGTATGATTTTTAAGTAAGACGAAAGCCCGCCGTTGCAAATTTATACTAGTTTTATTAATAGTAGATTGTAAATGTCTTCTTAATTTGGATTTTAAGGTTAGGTTAATGGCTCTTTGCAATGCAACTCTTAAGTTGGTTTTTTAGTTCGGCAAGGTATTAATCTGGTTTCTCTTTCTTATCTAGGATATCGCAAAGTCGTAAACAAGTTCAAAGGTGTTATATGCAAAATTAAAATATCGGATCGTGCCAATCATTATTTGTTATAAAAGAAAGCAAATACGTACTATGTGGCTGCGTTCGCGATGACAAGGACAATTTTTGTTCTGTATGCAGCGACTCACAGATTCCTTTAAGCAATTTATTCTTGAATTCACTGCCATTATTTAATTCCAGTATTTTGAAAAGTCCATGTCCATCTGCCAGTAGGTTTCCAGTTGATTTAGCTTCCTTGGGCTTTAGAGAGAGTTATATATTTTGTAAGATCAATTTCAATAGTTAATATATATTTACACTGATTTGAGGATCTAAGTGGTCTTACAGTCTCAATTCAGATCACTTCAAAATGTTTTATCCTGTCGTCAGTCAATCTTTTTATGGTGAATTTTCGGTATAAAAAAAGCACCAAAAAATCGGGTATGCGTTACTTCCTTTCATAGTACTCTAGTTACTTTCTTGGTTCTTTTTGTTGCTTTACTTTTCGCTCTCTTTTCCTTCAACTTTTCTTTCTTCTCCTTTAAATTGTTTATGAACATTGTGTATTATTTCACTTTATTATTGAACCCACGGTAGACATTGCATTCTATTATAGGCCTTAATGGTCTTCGAGGTTACATAAGTGTCAATAAATAAATAGTATCGAAATCGTAATCAGATAATTCTAGTTTAATCCGTTTGTTTGTCGTGACAAGGCATCCTTATGCGGGAAGAGTTCGATTAGTGATCTGTGATGATGCATTAGTAATTCTTTTTCAATGATTACTTTATGTTTTTCATGTACGTTTAACGATCTTCTTGCCTAGGGTAGGTAAGTTATTATCTATTTCTCCTTGGGAGAGAATGACACTTTAAGCGAATGAAAGATTTATGAAAGTGAGGATATTAGAGTACTGGCATACGTCATCAAAAGCTATGTGACCGTATGCATAGTTCCTTATAAGCCGTAATAGATATTTTTATTATACTTTAAATATACAATCAGTTCCTTTTTTGCTAAAGCTTTTCAGTTACCTGTAGATCTATTACCGTTTCTCTCATCAACTTGAATTACACTGAGAATTCAAGAGAAATTTTCATGTTTTGAAACACATTTAACAACTCGACAATTGTTTTTCCAATTTACCTACACACTATAGATTTCTTTTAGAGATTTATGTTTCAGTGCCATAGAATAACCTCTCCTTTAATTTGCCAGAATTCGAAGTTCGCTCATTTACTTCTCTTTTAATTTGCCAAAATTCGAAGTTCGCTCATTTACTTCTTTCTTCTTCCATTTTTTCTTTCAATTCGTAAAAACAAATTGAATTTGAATTACCGAGCCACATAATCGAAGGAAGATACGCCTTCATAGAAGCTACATATCTTTCCCTTCCTGCTTTGTTATTTCATCATCCACTTCTAATGAAAGATAATTATTTGGACACAATGGAATGTCACATTTTTATTTGTTTTTGTAGCCGCCTGAGTGGCCGAGTAGGCAAGAGTCTCGTCTAGCAACTCAATAGTCGTGGGTTCAAACCTCAAGTGTGGTAGAGTCTTTAATAAAGCCGAAAGCCTTAGATGCTAGTGCTTTAAGACTTTAGTCTTAGAATTTTTATTCTTTGGCTAAATTTATAATAATAATAATAATAATATTTTTGTTCTATTACGATTATATTACTATATTATTATAAACTGCTGTAATTTATCCCTTAAGAATCCTTTATCATAAGAACCAAAACGTCCGCAACATAAGCGAACTTAAGGTCATTAACACAATAATAACAAAATAAACCTTGCATAGCATTCCTGCAAAGCACGTTTGCAAGCTATTGGAGAACGGTAGCCGCCAACTTGCGCTTCTTATGTGAGTCATAAAACCTTTGTTTTCGATTTCAAAGACAGTTGGAGAATGTGGTCCTTCCACAAAGACGATGGGACCTTCATGAACGTATAATGGACCTTCTTCCAATTTGGGTACAGGCAAAAACTGATGATCTGCCGAACCGTCCAAACTTCATATCCGTAGAGAATTGTGTGGCAGGTTTAGGTGGTGGCACTTGTTTTTCTTCTTCTCGCAATTGTTCGACTTTTTCGGCAAATTCATTAATAATTTCAGAAGCATTCTTACCACTAAACATAAATTCATCTATGAGGACTTCTTTTTCACGTGCCTCCTTCTTTTTTTTTTTTGTTCAGCCTCCAGGGATAATAATTTTTGCTTTCTGCATTCATCTTGAGCCTTTTCCAATTCTAAGACTTCTTCGAGCTCAAATTCTTCGCGACCCATACGGGTTTTATTTGTTACGTCTGTACTAATTGGAGAATGTGTGTCCTCGAGGACAAGTTAACTTTTGATGATTTGGAATTTTGATGAATCCGGTTTCACTTCTTCGGACGTCCAAGCATTCTTGCGGAAGCATTCTTTGCGACTTTTTGGATTACTTTCATTGGGTTATTATTGTGATGGCCTAAGCTACGTACTACTACTAGTACTGAAAGAAAGCTTCTGTTACCAATTTAGACAGCGGTATATCGAACACACGTTGAAAGCTATTAGACGATATGTTGTGAACAAAAGATAATCTT